CCTTTTCTCATATTAATTCCATTTCCTTCTTTCCTTTCCCCTACCCCTCCCACTTCCCTTTCCCCTTTGGACCTTTTCTTCCCATTTCACATTATCTATTATACTTCTTGTAAACAGAAGAGAGGCATCTTACCTGGGCTTCTGCAAAGGAGACGGCAGAGGTACTGAGGGAGCGGGGGCTGGAGACACCGAGGAGGACGTAGTGCGGTCGTCCGCACCTCAGACGGGTTAAGATACGGCATGCAGCCGCTAAAGCTTTCCCGGGCGACTGAGAGGGCCCTGCGACGCTGTGGAACTGACCGGGGGGAAAAGGATAACGGAGCCTCTTTACTGCGAGCACAAGTTCCAGGATGGAGGCTCAGGGGCTTCTTTATGAGCTCAAGTCCCCAAAGCAGGCTAAAGCCAGGGCTCTGTTGTTGTTTGTGTTGACTGCTGGCCGGAAGGCAGCTACTGGTATGTGCAGTGCTGGTGCTCAAGCCCGGGTCTCCCGCATCAGAGTTGCCGCAGACCCGCGCTGGGGTACAAAAGACCCCATCCACGGGCGCTGACAGGGGCAAAGGCAGCTGCGGGAAACCGGAGCACGAGACATAACCCTCCCGTGTCCTCAAGCGACCCGAGGTCATGACACGCTGGTCCTGGTGACCCGGTCAGCATGTGCTGCTCATGTCCCCAGCTCTGGTTATAGGGTCAGGGTAGCATCCTGGCACTTAGCCTCGGATCAACTTTACCTGACTCTGGGGTCGCAGTAGGCGCAGAAGCTCCCGGCGTCCGCACATCAAGGCTGCCGCCATTTTGACCGGAAGCGGACTGCTTTCGCGCGTGCGCACTTAGAACCACGAACCCACAGGAGGCGTCCTTTTTGGAAGTGGGCGCGGAAGTCGTAGTTGTCACCGCCCACCAGGTGGTAAAGGAGAATGTAGCTGGGTGGCCATATTTGAAGTGGGTAAGAAGCCTCAAAGGGCCACATTAGTAACATCGAGAAGACGGTGTCTTTCAGCAATTGGAAGGCTAAATACAAGAGCCACGTTAATGACCATTGTTAGTGATGGTGTAATCCTGGGGAGTTTTCCAAAGCCTCAATTATCCTCTGATTTGCTGGGTTAAAAAATAGCCTTTAGACAACTGGCTGTGCTTGGTGTGGATTTTTCACCCCTGATGATGTTCAGTTCTTGTATACCCAGTGAAATTTGAGGGTATTCTTCAGTCTGACTGAAATGGAGGGAAGATCGCTTGGACGAAATATTTTTCCTTTCAGATACAGCACTAGGAAGCCTGAGGCAGAAGGATTGCCACAAGTGTGAAAGCAGGTCGGGCTACATAGTGAGTTCAAGGCTCACCAGAACTACATAGAGACCCTGTCTCAAAACAAAACACAAAACAAAACAAAACACCCCCCAACCAAACCAAACCGGACAACAACAAAAAACCAAAGTGACACCTTCCCCATTTTTCTTCTTTGAGTGGAGTTGTATGTGTGAAGATTGTGACCATAAGGGGCCAGGCTTTGGTCGGGAGCCTCAAAAGATCTGGCTTGGCTATCTGCCCTAAAAAGTCAGTCAAGGAGATGGGCAGTTGTGGAGGGCAGAAAAGGAGCTTTAATCACCATGACCATGCTAGGAAGGACAGATAAAGAAGTTCAAGATCTGTCTTTGAGGTGCTGATGGAAACTTTGGAGTTTTATAGAAAAGAGAACAGAGAGAAGGGTAGGATAGGTAATCCTGGTCAAACCATGGTCTAATTGATTATGTCAGGACTGGTTCTGTGAGGGTGGCTCTGGAAAAGTCCTCACGGCTTGAAGGAGTACTCTGAGATGGTTGCTTCTGCTTGTGTGTGGGGTGCTCTCATCATGGGATGTTCTGTGATGCTCTACTTTTCCTGGAATCCAAAGTGACCACAGGTTTAGCACAATGACTAGAGACTTCTAGGCAGTTCCAGGAGATCAGCAATAAGATGTTGTAAAAAACAACTTAGTTACTCTTATCTTGGTATGGTCAGTCTTGAGGGGGATGACATAGACTAGGAAAATTTAAGGATGATAGATGTCTATTGGTAAGTTTTTAGACAGACTCCTTGAGTGATAAACCTGGCTATGTACACAGCCAAGCAGGGATCTGACCCAAAGTTTTAAGGAATAAAGGAGACAGATATAAAATGAAGGTGGAGATGCGAAGCTTTACTCTGCTTTTCATTACCCACTAAGGATTTGCAGGCCCATCCTCTAAGTCCTGTTGTAAACTCTTACAAAGTTTCTCAAAGTATAGTGGACTTGGTGGATTATGTATGTAATCCCAGCACTCTGGGCAGCTGAGGCAGGAGTGTAAGTTCAAGCCTAGCCTGGGCAATTTAGCAATTTAGACTGGATCAGTTGAAGACCTGGCCAATAGTCAGAACCAAGTTGCCAACCATGTGAAGAAGATATGCTGGAAGTAGATTTTCCAGTCCATTGGAGCCATCCCACATGACTATGTGGAGCAAAGAGAGGCTTTCTCTAACCAGCCCTGCCCAAGTTGGAGAGTTATTTTAGATTACTATTATTAAGACCCTGGAAAAGTTATATCCTTTTTTTTTTTTTTTTTGAGTCAGAGACATGATAATGTAGCCCACGCTGGCCTTGAACTCAAGGTGATCCTTCTGCCTCAGCTTCCTGAGTGCAGAGATTATAGCAGGTTATATCTTAATACTAGGGCTAATCTAGCTCTCTAACAAAACTACAGTGTAATCATTGTAACAAAGCTTGAAAATTAGCCTTGGTAGGATCAAGCTGTTCTACAAAAAAGTGCCAAAACAAAACTGAAAACTCTTTAAAGGAAAACAACACAATCTAGACATTCAACAATGTTTTATTTAATAGCCAATAAAAAATTACTAGACAGACTGGTACACATCTATAATCCAATCACTTAGGAGGCTGAGGCAGGAGGATCTCCATGAGTTCAAGACCTTCCTGAACTACATGGCAAGACCCTGTCTCAAACAAAATAAAACAAAACTACTATACAGGCCAAAAAAAAAAAAAGGTCATAATAAGAATAGAGAATGGTCAATAGGAACAAATTCAGAAGTGACAGTAATGATGGATTAGTGGACAATAATAGTAAAGCAGCTATTATAACTATGCTGAAGAGTTTAAAGGGTGGTGGACAATGTGCCTCCCATGTACCAGATTCTGGGTTCAATTTCCAGGACACATACACCCCCCACAAATTTAAAGGAAACATTTATTTATTTATTTATTTATTTAATTTATTTATGGTACCAGGGATCGAACTCTGGTCCTTGCACTTGTGGGGCAGATGGCAGAACCACTGAGCTAAATCTGTGGCCCTAAAGGAAACTTTTAAATAAGAACTAAATGAAACTTGTGGAGATGGAAAATGTGATACTGGTATAATTTACTGGATGACTTACCAGCATATTTGATACTGTAAAACACAATAATTTCAGTGAATTTGAAGACATAGCAGTAGAAATCATTCAAACTAAGGTATAGATAAAGCAAGACTAAAAAATTATACAGGATCTCAGTGTTCTGTGGGATAATATCGAGTGGTGTAATATACATGTGATTAGAATCCAAGAATAACAGCATGGGGAGAAGGATAGAAAAAATAATGGCTTAAAGTTTTAAAAAATGATGAAAATAATAAACTCATAGATGCAACAAATCTCAAATAGGATAAACACATAGAAAATCACATTAAGCCCCATCACAACTGTGTTCACTTTCTGTCATTTAACAAAATACTTAAAATGATCGACTTAAAAGGGGCAAAAGCTTATGTTGGTTCCCACGTTCAGCGGTTTCAGTCTGTGTCACTTGGGCCTTTTGCTTTGGGCCTGTGATGACACCGTAGCACATCATGGCAAGGACTTGGCAGAGGCCTGTTTACCTCATGGTGTCTGGGAAGCAAACAGAGGGACAGGAAGGGGCTGGGGCCCATATTCCTTCAAGGGCACCTCTATGACATACTTTCCTTCCATTAGGTCCCATCTTCTAAGGGTCCCACCATCTCCCAGTATTGCCACCCTGGAGACCAAACTTGGACACAAAGAGCTTGGGGGACATTTAAGGTCCAAACTATAGCAGTGATGAAATGTTTGAAACCGATGATAAGAAGCAAAATTTAAAGGCAGAGAAACAATTCAAACAAACAAACAAACAAATCAAAAGACAGCATTTTAAAAGAGCAAGAAAACAACTCAACCTAGAATTCTCATTCCAGAAAAAAAAAACAACCCCTTCAAAAATGAAGGAAAAAAGACATGCAGATAAACAAAACAGAACTTGTCACTAGCAGACATGTGTTACAAGGGATGTTAAAGGAAGTTCTTATGAAGAAAAATGGAAACTAGGTGGAAATGTAGATTGACACCAAATGAAAAAGAATACTGAGAAATGGTAAATATAAAAGATTTTTATTTTGCTTATTTTTTTTTTTTGTACAGGGAATAGAACTCAGGGCCTTGTGCTTGCCAGGCAGGTACGGCAACACTGAGCTACATCCCTGGCCCTTCTCATATTTTAATTTCTTTAAAAGACAAGTGTTTAAAGCAAAAATCATGTCAATATTGAGAATTTATAATGTGTATAAATATGAAATACATGCCAACAATAGCATACTGAAGGTCAGTAAATGTGTTCTAATTGTATATTTACCTTCTACATGAATCTGAACCTTATCCAAAGATAGCCTGTGTTAAGTTAAATATCCATATTTCCAACTTTCCTGGCGCAAACCACTAAAAAAGCCAGATAGGTGTACTCAGGAAGCTGATAGAAGACAAAAAATGAAATAGTAAAAATATTCAACCATTATGAAAGAAAGAAAGAAAGAAAGAAAGAAAGAAAGAAAGAAAGAAGATAAAGCTGGGTATAGTGGCATATGCCTGTATTTCTACCTCTTTGGGTGTCTGAGGCAGGAGGACAGCAAATTTGAGCCCAGCCTGGGCAACTTAGGAAGACACTGTTTTAAAAGAAAGGGCTGGGCATATACTTCAGAATGAAGGTCCTGGATTTGGTCTCCAATACCATCACCACAATAAACAAGCAAATGAACGAACAAAGAAACAAAGAAAAGTAAAGATGAAAAAGGAACAAAGACAAGGTAGGACAAATAGCATATATAAGGATATAGCAATATGGTAGACTTAAATTCAACAGTCTGAATAATCACACTAAGTAAAAATTATCCAAACACTCTAAAATACGGAGATTGTTAGGCTGGACAAAAGAGCAAGGCCCAAGCTGGGTATGATGGCACACACCTGTAATCCCAGCATTCTGGAGGCTGAGGCAGGAAGATTGCTGCAAGCTTGAGGGCAGCCTGGGCTAAATAGTGAGTTCAAGTCCAGCCTGAACTATATAGTGAGATCTTGTCTCAAAAACAAAACAAAACAAAGAAACAACCCCCTCCCCCCCAAATCAAGGCTTCCTGTAGAATCTCCAGCTGCAGGCTTTCTATAGAATCTCCTTCAAGTGAATAGACACAGAAAGATTAAAAGTAAAATGATGCAATGGTATATTCTTCAAACACTAATAATAAGAAAGCTATATTAAAGACAGATAAACATAATTAGAAGATACAATGAGAGACATCTCACAACTTAAAAGAGCCAATTTATCATAAAAACACAATCCCAAAGTTCACCTAACAGAATTAAAAAATATATGAAGCAAAAATTGATAGAACTAGAAATTGAAAGGAAAAGTAGACTAGTCCACAAGTATACTTGCAGATTTAACCTTCCCCTTTCAGTAATTGATAGAGTCAGAAAGGACATGGAAAACTTCAATGACATTATCAATCAATTTGATCTAGTTAGCATTTATAGAACTC